GGCGCCGCTTCTGCTGCCGCCCCCGGGGCGCGATCGGCCGCCCGCCGCCCGGGGACCCGGCGAGCGGCGGGGGCAGCCCCGGACTGGGCCCTCCGGCCTCCCGGTGTCCGGTCGCAGGCATCCCGGGAAGGTCGTCCCTTTGCTCTCCGCCGGGAGTCGCGCCGCGGCGAGGTGAGAGCCGGTGGGGGCAGGGAGGGGACGCCCGCGGAGGAATGCTCCGGGGCGGGGGGAGGGCCGGGGAGCCGGGGTTCCGAGGTCCCGATTGCACGACCCGGGCGGGCGGGCGAGGCGCGAGAGCTCGGATCATGCGCTATTTATCCCGCGGAGGCGCAGAGAGGTGCCAGGCCCCGGGCAGCCGTCGGCCGGCTGGACTGGAGGACCAGGAACTCACGGCCGCCCAGAAAGGACAGGCGGGGGCCTGCTGCAGAGCTGCCGGTGGGCAAGGTGCAGGTGCCCTAGACCCCGTTTCGGGTCGGTCGGCCCCACCCTAGCCGCGGCCTCCTCCCCGGTGCACCCTTACAGCAGTTCGCAGGGACTCTGCACCTTCTCGACACTTCTTTTCCCCGCTCTGCCCTGGCCCCTGTCTTCTTAGCCTCGGAGATGTCCTTCCCTACCCTAGTCAGGGTTTGAGGGTCAGGGCTCCTCCTCCTGAGCCAGTCTCTGTGATTTCGGCGACTCCCTTCCTGTGGTGGGATAAACCAGTCCCTTCACCCCTCCCCTGCTCTGCCTAGGAAGGCTGGTGAGATGAGACCCACCCCAGCGTGACAGACGGTGGAGGTCTTTTGGGGCTGCAGGTGGGGACGCGGCATCTTTGAACTCTTCCTAAGTCTTCACCCTGTATCCGTAGGCGTGGGCTGCTTAGACTCTCCTCCCAGGGTGTGGGCACCCGGATCACCCACATTCCTAGGCTGCAGCCTGGCACCTTCCCCAGGCTAGTGGACGCCATAGCACTAGCCCCAGGTGGGGTTTGGGACCTGTTTCCTTTTCCCTTTCAGGAAGCCCCCGCCCTTCCCCAGCCCCCGTTGCAGGGAGGCCCCCTCAAGATGCAGGTGTTCTGGGTCTCCGCCGTGGAGTCCTGGGGGGGGGTGTGTGTGATGTCATGCACAAGGGATGACCCCACCCTCCCCTGCCCATTGTCCTGGACCCTGAGGAGGAAGTCCTGCCGCTAGGGTTTGGGGATCCCAAGCAGGCCTTCCAGCCATTCCCCTAGCCCTTGGACTTTGCCCATCAGTAGCGCCTGCCTCGTGTGTAGGACTCCCTAGCTGACCCTCGAAAGGAATTATAGATTAGGGTTTATGATTGGGTTTTTGTCTTCTCCTACCTCTTTCTGGGCTTCCAGTTTGTGTTTTGGCCCCAGAGCCTTCCCTCCCTGTCATTTCAGCATCCCTGTGTCTCACCTTCCTTTTCTCATGCCATTCTTTCCTTTGCAGCCTGACCTCAATCTTGTCTCTTGTCTGATTCCTCTTATTTTCTTTGTCTGTAACTTTCTGTCCTTCTCTTTCCTTCCTGCCACCCCCAGCATCTCTGCCCATGTGTTCCTCTCTCTGAATCACCCTCTGTCCAATCTCTGTCTCTCTCTCTCTCCCTCTCTAACTGAACGCTCAGTACACTTGTGAGTGACTAGGAATAAAAATATCAGTGTCTCTGCCCTTGGATTCACATTGCGTTCAGCCGCCCCGGAGGGGCAGCTCCCCTCGATGTCCTGACACATCCCTTTCCCTCTAAACAGAACCGCAGGCAGGTACCTCCTGACTCCTCCTTCCTCACAATCAGCGTTTCCCTTACAGCCTTGCTGGTGTGGCCAGGCCCCACGTGTAGGATGGGGCTTCCCATACGAGGGCCGGTGGCAGCCAGAGCTGATACAGCCCCCCTGCTCTGGGGCCAGGACACCAGGTAACTCGGGTGATGGCCCAAACCCCCGTACACTGGGATCTGGTTGGGGAGAGAGGTAGGGGTGCTTTCGGGAGCAGGAGCGGAGCCCTGGAGGGGCTGGGCAGGTCCTGGGATGGAGTGTGGAGCCTGGACTCGGGAAGCAAGAAGGCAAGGCCTGGAGTTCTCTCAATGGCTCTGACCACCCCTTTTTTTCCTGTTTTCCAGCTGAGGAGGGCAGGAGTTTCAGAAGCCATGGCTGGTGCCTCGGTGAAAGTAGCAGTGAGGGTTCGGCCCTTCAGTGCCCGAGAGGCCAGCCGGGACGCCCAGTGTGTGATCAGCATGCAGGGCAACACCACCTGTGAGTGAGTCCAGAGCTCCAGCTGGAGCACCGGGCGGAGGGCAGGCCTGTGGCCCGTCCCGGGGGGAAAGCCGTGCTGGGCACAGAGCATGTGGCTGGCTGTAAGGGGGGGCAGACTGGCCTTCCCATGTTCCTGCCCTGGGAGGGGGAATGTTGGCCAGGAGCCCTCCGTTGCCCAATCCAGGGAGGCAGCTCAGTGGGGCGGGTCCTGTGGAGCCAAAATTAGCTTTGGTGGCTGGAGGGGGTGGGGATTATTAAAGGGAAGAGAGTTAAGGCAGAGGTGGGGAGTGGGGTCCTGGCTCCTCGGGGCTTACGGGAAAGTGGGCAGTGGATAGACCTGACTTGGCTTTCCTTGCTTTGTTTTCTCAGCCATCATCAATCCCAAACAGAGCAAGGACGCCCCGAAAAGCTTCACCTTCGACTATTCTTACTGGTCACATACTTCGGTGAGGCAGTTGGGGCTAAGGAAGAGCTTAGCCTGGGAAAGGGGTTTGGTCCTGAGAAGGGGGTGATCCTGGGCCAGGCAGGGAGGACAGGGACCTCTGGGCAGTGCGAGAACTCCTGGGCTGTGTTTAGGAGCAGAAGAGGGAACAGACGGTCCGTCCAGATACTTAGGTCCGCCAGGGGCCTGGATGGGAACGTTGTAGACGATAAGAATGAGGAAGTCAGGGTGAGGGGTGCACAGGCCTCTGGGCAGTCAGAGCAGTCAGGATGTCTGGGCCACAGACACAAAGCCTGAGCTCACCCGGGCTTGCTGTCTCTCCCTGCCTCCATTCCACCAGGTAGAGGACCCGCAGTTTGCGTCTCAGCAGCAGGTGTACCGGGACATCGGGGAGGAGATGCTGCTCCATGCCTTCGAGGGCTACAACGTGTGCATCTTTGCCTATGGCCAGACGGGGGCTGGGAAGTCCTACACCATGATGGGGCGGCAGGAACCGGGCCAGCAGGGCATTGTGCCTCAGGTACATGCTGCCACCTAACTGGGCAGCCGGGGGAAGAGCGTCTTTAGGTGCCACAGCGGGGAAGGAGAGTTGTAGGCCAAGACGTGGCTGTCTGGGGCTGTTTGTGATTGGAAGTGTGATGGGATATGAGGCTTGGCCACAGCCTAACACCCAGGGCCCTTTCGGGAGGGAGGCTTTGCACCCGACAGCAGGCTCCGTGAGAAGAGCCAGGGCTTTTCTCTCGAGGTGACTTTACTTTCTCTTTAACTGTTATTTTTGTGCATTTTCCCTGTGGGCTTCTGTATGGCAGTGTTAGCTGTGGCTGCAAATCACTGAGAGTTGTCCATAGTTCTCTGTGGCTGTGAACCGCAGTGCCCTCTACACAGACGAGGGCGCAGCAGACATGGGTCTGCATCCTAGCCTCATGGGTACCAGCTTGTGACTCCAGGCAAATGTGTAATTTGAGAGGCGTTTCCCTGTCTATAAAATGGAACTGACCCCTCCCTTGGGGCTGTGGAAAGGGTCGTTTGGGACATGGTCTGGCCTGGGCTGGGAGCTGCAGGCATGCCCTAGACAGGAGCGTCTCTGTGTCCCCCCAGCTCTGCGAGGACCTCTTCTCCCGTGTAAGCGTGAACCAGAGTGCTCAGCTTTCCTATTCTGTGGAGGTAAGCCCCAGCTGTGGTGCAGGCGGGCGGGAGGCCCGGTGCCCTGGGCAAGAGTGTAGGAAGACATCCACCAAGACTGCTCTGTCTCCGGAGTCAGCTTGGGACCTAATTCTTCTGTTAGTGACGAGCTTGTGACTGGTTTTGGCTGTGAGCCATGGGTGCTGATGGTGAGACCTTGGGCTGGTGCGAGCTCTCGGAGCCAGTTCTCGGCCCCAGCACGTGCCTGCTGTACCTGGGCTGCACCGTACCTGCTCCTGCCCTGTAGAGTTTGGGGCCAGTGTCTCTGGCAGTGTCACCACCGGCTCCCTCAACCCTGCCGGCTTCTCCCGCCCAGGTGAGCTACATGGAAATCTACTGCGAGCGAGTACGAGACCTCTTGAACCCCAAGAGTCGGGGCTCTCTGCGGGTCCGGGAGCACCCCATCCTGGGCCCGTACGTTCAAGACCTGTCTAAACTGGCTGTGACTTCCTACGCAGACATTGCTGACCTCATGGACTGTGGAAATAAGGCGAGGTGAGGCCGCCTTACTTGGGGGTCAGAAGGAAGGGAGGCAGAGTGGTGAGGGAGAGGGCAGGAGCCTGAGACCTTCCTCTGGACTCCAGAACCGTGGCGGCCACCAACATGAATGAGACCAGCAGCCGTTCGCATGCCGTCTTCACCATCGTGTTCACCCAGCGCTCCCACGACCAGCTCACTGGCCTGGATTCAGAAAAGGTAGCGCCCTCTCTCTAGCGGGCGGGCGCCGTAAGGTGATGGGAGGGGCTCGAGAGTTCTCTGCCCGCCCGAACTGGTGGGGCCTCCTCAGGGCCTCCACTGCCCCCTCTGCCCACCGGCCGGACAGTGCCTGCTCGTTGGCTCAACCTTAAAGGTTCTCAGAGCAGGGCTCAAATCCCACTGTGTCCCCTGTGGAACACAGTGAACCTGTCGGTACTTGTAAGTGACTAAATGAACAAATGCATGAGTTACCAGCTCCTCACTGTGGTCTCCCTTGTCTCCTTTGTCTCCTCTGGGCTGTCTAGCCTTAGCTAAACCCAGCTTTCTGCTGGCTGTCCCCTAATTCGCCTTCGCATCGCCTACCCACCCCAGTCACCATATGCTTCTTTCCTCCAACCCCAGGTCAGTAAGATCAGCTTGGTGGACCTTGCTGGGAGTGAGCGGGCTGACTCCTCAGGGGCCCGGGGGATGCGCCTGAAGGTAAGGGTGCTTTGGAGGGATGGATGGAAGCTTTGGGGGCCGTGTGGGGAGGCAGGCTGCTGACCATGCCCTTAGACCCTTGCTGGCAGGGCAGAGGGGTCGTGGGTCTGACTGACAGCAAGGTCTCATTTCCACACTCCTTTCCCAGGAAGGCGCCAACATCAATAAGTCCCTGACTACTCTGGGGAAGGTGATCTCAGCCCTGGCAGATTTGGTAAGCCCTGAGGGTTGGGAAGAGAGAGGTCTCAGGAAAGAAGGCCTAGAGGATGACTCAGCCTGATTACCTGCCCTTTTCCCCCTCAGCAATCCAAGAAGCGGAAGTCAGATTTCATCCCTTACCGAGAGTCTGTGCTTACCTGGCTGCTCAAGGAGAATTTGGGTGAGGGGGCCCTCCCCGCTTCACTGACCCTGCCATCACCCTCCCTACAGAATCTCTTGCCAGCCTTAGAACCTCTAGTCAGTGTTGTCTGCCTGTTTCTCTGCCTGGCTGCGGGCTCACCCTATAGGAAGTTTCCCCTGCTGACGTCATGGCTACACTCTGCCAGACCAGAGACCTCCCTGCCCTGTTTACCCCTGACCCCAAACACTGCTGTGTCTGTCTCCCTCCCACAGGCCTGTGACTGCTCACAGATGCCTGGCCTCTCCGGGAACTCGCCTTTCCCCACACGTCTGCATTTCATGATTGGCTCCACAGTCCCAGCTGTACCCTGTGTCAGACATTGCCCTCTCAGACCTGTGTATCGGGGACTCCTGTCGCTCAGTCCAATCTGACTTACTTAGAGTCACAAACATGTATGAGTTTGAGACAGCGTCTCGCGCCCCAGGCTTCCGCCGAGCCCGGGGGTTGCAGCCATGCGCCGCCTCACCAAGCCCAGCCTTTTCTGGGGCTGCAGCGCTCCAGCTTGCCCCCCTCTCCTTCCTCTCCTTCGTAGGTGGGAACTCACGCACGGCCATGATCGCAGCCCTGAGTCCTGCGGACATCAATTATGAGGAGACGCTGAGCACGCTCAGGTGCGGACTCAGGCTGCTCAGTTGGGAGGGAGGGAGCAGGAAGGCTCTCCTGGGCCTGCCCTCCCACTTTTGTCTTTCTGCAGGTATGCAGACCGCACTAAGCAGATCCGATGCAACGCCGTCATCAACGAGGACCCCAACGCTCGTCTCATCCGAGAGCTGCAGGAGGAGGTGGCCCGCTTGCGGGAGCTGCTGATGGCCCAGGGACTGTCCGCCTCCGCTCTCGGAGGTAGGCCGCTGGGGAGGGCAGCCAGGGAGCCGTTCACTCAGCTCCCCCTGGCTGTCCTGTCCTCTGCCCCTCCTGGAATGTGGGGAGGCCCGTTCCCCATTAACTCCTTGGCGTGCTCCGAGACGTAGACACACCTCTGGAGAAGGCGTTTGTGAAGTTAGGGAGCAGGGACAGACTTAATTCCTCAGGGAGACGGGGGGGCTTCTGCAGCTAATAAAAGGACAGGTGCAAGGAACATTGCAAGTCGTGAGCTTACGATTCCACAGAAGCCGACAGGCCGCTGCAGGGCGTGAGTGGCGGAAGGTCTGGTGGAGTGACGGGCCTCCTTCCCTGTTCTTGCTTTTGTTTTGGATCTCACTGCATCCAGCCTGGACGTTCCTGCAGTCCAGTAGCCCCCGACCTTCCTAATGCCGTGTCCTTTGATGCAGTTCCTCCTGCCGTGGCGGCCCCAGCCGTAAAAGTACCGTGTTGCCACTTCATTAACTGCAGTTTTCCTTACTGTTAGGAACTGCAGTGCTAATACCTGACGTGCAGGGTGCGTGAGACCGAAGGGGCCCTGACCCGCAGGTTGCGAGCCGCTGCTGCTGCTGCTGCAGTCGCTCCTGTCTCTGTGAGGCGCATAGTGGGCGTGGCGGCCACGCCCGGCTGTCCTGAGATGTGACATCCCTGCCCTGCCCCCCGTGCTCCCGCATTAGGGTTAAGGGACACCCACTGCTCCTCTGGCTTAACCATCGGCCGCAGGCTGGCGTCTAACACACGGCTCAGCCTCCCTGGTGGGAATCCAGTCCAGTGCTCACTCCAGGGGCACACGTACTAACATTGGAACAGTACAGAGGTTCGATAGCCCCTGTGCAAGGGTGACGCTCAGGTCCGTGAAGTGTTCTGTATCGTTAACAGGACAAAACAAAAAACTACCCCCCCCCCCCAAAAAAAGGGAATTGTTGTCCATGTGGGAAGTGCAGGATCCATGCTAACTGGCTCGGCTCCCACGCTCCTCGTTCTTACGGTCTGCCTCAAAGGCTAGGGCGCAGTGGAAGAGAGGGAGGGTAAGGCCTGGCTAAAGGAAAAGTGGCACCTTATCCTCGGAGCAGAGCTGGGAGAGCCAGATGTGCATGGCGGGCCATCTTCAGCTCAGCAGCTAAGAGCTCTCTGATGGGGGAGTCACTAGGGCGGAAAGAACCGCAGCAGCTCCACCTCATGCAGCAGCCGGGCTCTCCCCCCCGGGGCCTCAGCCACCGTCCTCTCTCCTTGGAGGGCCACCTCCCTGTCGCCTGTGGCTCCCCGTGACCCTCGTGGCTCCTCTCGTCTCAAGTCTCAACCCCCCCTTCTCGCCTTCTCCCTTCCAGGTCTGAAGGTGGAAGAGGGGAGTCCTGGAGGTGCCCCGCCTGCCGGACCGCCTCCCCCCGCCCCGGCTTCACCCTCATCTCCTCCTCCACATAATGGGGAGCTGGAGCCCCCGTTCTCCCCCAGTGCTGAGCCCCAGATTGGGCCCGAGGAGGCCATGGAGAGGCTGCAGGTGGGAAGGTCGTTAGAGCAAGGGGTGGCAGGCTGGGGGCTGCTCTAACGAAGGCCGGAGTGCGGGAAGGTGGACTATGGTGGTGTCTGGGCGGTGCTGGTCCTGAGCTTTGCCTTCTATCTGTCCTTCACACCTCAGGAGACAGAGAAGATTATAGCTGAGCTGAATGAGACGTGGGAGGAGAAGCTTCGGAAGACAGAGGCTCTGAGAATGGAGAGGTATGGGGGCAGGTGGAGGGCACTCCTCAGCGGGGAGAGTCGTGGGTGGCCGAGGTGAGGCTGACCTCTGCCTTTCCCTTGCTCGCAGAGAAGCGCTGCTGGCCGAGATGGGCGTGGCTGTCCGGGAGGATGGCGGCACCGTGGGTGTCTTCTCTCCGAAAAAGGTGTGTGAGAGGTTGTGCACAGAGGCCTAGAGAGCTCTGAGGAGAGGGGTTGGCCATGGTATGACGGAAGCCCTAATCCTGCTCCTTTGCTTCTATGCCCTGACTCGTCCCTTCACCGTCTCTTCCATTTCCCACCCCGTCTGAGTTACGTGGACATCTCTGCCTTCTCCATCCGTCACCTTGTCAGTGAGAGAGGGGTGTGAAGTGCTTGTGCCCAGCGAGCATAGGGTCCACTGAAGATGATGGTTGCTCTCCCCGAGGGGCTGCAGAGCTGCGGAGGACCCAGCTCTCCCTGCCCATGTGCGCAGGACAGGCACAGAGCTGGGCTCGGGAGTCCCTTGGGCAGGAGGGGGTCTGGACAGCCCAATGCTCGTGCTTGGAAAGTTAGCGGGAAGGAAGATGGAGGAGGAGTGTGACAGTGGTGGGCGGGCGGGGGTCGTCAGGACCATTCGTGGCCGAGAGATGTCGCGGCTGGGTTGTTCGGGAGGGTCGTTTGCAGAATGGAGCCTGAAGAATGGACGAGACTGGGTAGAGGGGTACAGATGGGGTGAGGCTAATCGAGCGTCTTTAGGCAGGACGGGGTGTGGTGCCAGCCTCGGCGCTGGTGCTTGGGAGAGCAAGGCCGGAGTGGTCGGCCCAAGTGGGCACAGAGGCAGTTCTTAAAATACTTCACCAACTGGCACAGGACGGGTCAGTTGGAAGGAGCAGTGGCCAGAGAGAGTCAGCAGAGCTGCCAGATGTGCTGGCACATGCCTGTGACCCCAGCACCTGAGGATTGGGTGGCACAGGGGGGAGGAGCTCAAGGCTGGGGCAGCCTGGGCTACATAGTGAGTTTAAAGTTAATGTGAACTTGATAGTGACATCCTGTCTCTCGCAAAAAAAAAAAAAAAAAAAAAATGGCTGGAAGGGTGTGAAAGCACAGCGCCAGTGTGGTGGCAGGGTCTCCCTCCTCCAGGCCCCGGTTAGGTTCTCAGCAGGAAGAAGGGATTAGTAGAGATTGGGGACCCTCAACACGAAACAAGCCAGCAAGGCTGACTGCTGTGTGCTGGTGGAGGGGTGACTCGGAAGCCAGCCTGACCCAGCTGTCAGTCAGTAGAGGTTCCACAGAGAGCTGGCAGGAGACTTACGTCATTTCGTGATGTTAAGACCGTCCAGAAAACTCAGCAAAGGAATCACTGAGCCTTTAACTACACACTTTTTTTAAAAATTACTTATTTATTATGTATACAATGTCCTGTCTACATGTAAACCTTCTAGATGGTTGTGAGCCACCATGTGATGCTGGGAATTGAACTTGGGACCTCTGGAAAAGCAGACAGTGCTCTTAACCTCTGCCATCTCTCCAGTCCTTAACTACACACTTGCATGCACACACAACATTACTCTATTTTTTGAGATTTATTTATGTTTTATGTGTTATGGGTGTTTGGCCTGCACTCCCGTGCGTGTGTTTGTACATCTGTGCATGAGGTGCCTGAAGAGTTCAGAGCAGGGTGCTGGATCCCTGTGGGACAGAAGGTACAGAAGGCTGTGAGTGGCCGTGTGGTGCTGGGGGCCAACCCTGAGGAGCAGCCCGTGCTCTTGACAGTTCGGACATCTCTGCAGCCCAACCTCGTTACCTCACTCTTCTTCTCACTGCATCATCTGTGTGTGTGCATGCGTTGCACACGGGTGCGTGGGTGTGGTGTGTGGAGGCCCGGAGAGCTTGCAGGTATCCATTCTCCTTCCACCGTGTGGATTCTGGGCCTTGAATTAGGACTGCCAGGCTTGGCAGCGAGCGCCTTTACTTGCTGAGGCATCTTGCTGCTCCCACCCTGCCCATCCTGCCCATTACATTGAATTTTTAAATTAATTTAAATTGTGTGTGGTCACACAAGGGCAGGCGTGCCGCTGTGCTCGAGTGGTGGTCATAACAGCCTCCCAGTGGCCTGAGCTCCTTCCTCCTTCGTGGGGTTCTTGTCTGTAATAAAGCGCGTTGCTCACGTCCCATCCGAGTGAAGGGCGGGAGGCCAGCTCGCCTTGCTCGCGCCGCTGCTCACACCTGCCCTCTTCCCCGGCTTCAGGGTCCGCTGCCTGAACAAGAGAGCCACAGAGAGCCAGACCTTCCCAGAGTGTGTGCTGATCCCCAAAATTCCAACTTCAGAGTCTCTTCCTGGGAGTCAGGGTGTATCCAGCACACCTGGGTGCAGGCGGTAGAACTCGGGCTGCCGGACTTGGATGCGAGCAGCTTTCCCCCGAGACTTGGATGCGAGCAGCTTTACCCCCGAGCCATCTCGCTGTTTTAAGGAGTCGCTGCCTGCCTTTCCCTTTTAAAGGTTACCTTGCTTTTCCCACACTCTCTGATACTCTAAAGATGCTACAATGGCTAATCTTATAAATAGGTGTTAAAAGCCAGGTGTGGTGGTACATGCCCGTGATCTCAGCCATCAGGAGGCCGAGGCAGGAAAATTGTCAGAAGTTTCAGATCAGCTAGAGCTGCACGGACCTCCCCAACCCCAAATCAGATTGTTTCTGTAAGAGTAGACTCTCGGAAGATGTTTGGAGTAGAGCGACAGCCGCTTATTTTTATTTAGTTAATTTTAAAAGTGGATCTTGTTTTTTGTTTTCTTCTCTGTGTAGCCCTGGTTGTCCTGAACTCACTCTGTAGACCAGGCTGGCCTTGAGCTCATAGGTCCACCAGCCTCCGCCTCCTGCGTGTCAGAGGACAGAAGGTGTGTGCCACCACTGTCCAGCCTTATTTTACTTTATCGTCTGTCTGTCTGTCTAGCTCTCTAGCTAGCTAGCTCTCTATTTTTCTTTTCAGGACATAGTTTTTCTGTATAACAAACCCTGGCTGTCCTGCACTCACTCTGTAGATCAGGCTGGCCTCGAACTCCCAGAGATCCGCCTGCCTCTGCCTCCCTGAGTGCTGGGATTAGAAGTGTGCGCCACTGTCCTAGCTCTTTTATTTTTGTTTTTTTGTTTGTTGCAGTGCTGGGGCTTGGACCCATGACATTAATGTACTAGTGCAAGTGTGTTGTGTGTGTGTGTGTGTACATTTGTGCATACAGGTACCCAGGTACAGGCCAGATGTCACTGGTTCTCTCAGCAGCTTGCTCCTTCACGTTGTTATTATTATTGTTATTGTTGTTATTTTGAGACAGGCCCTCTGGGCAGATGTGGAACGCACTGAGGATTTAGACTGGCTGGCCAGGACCCCAGATTCACCTGCTTCTCCTCAGCAGTGCTGGTGTCACGGGCCCCATGCTTCGATTGGTCGTGGAGAGCCGAGCGCATTCCACACGCCTGCGCGTGAAGTGGCTTACGCACTCAGGCAAACCCTTCCCACCCTAGCGCTTTCGTTCCTGTTCCCCGTCTCAGAGTTGCTGAGCACTTCAGGCTGCCTTGTCTTTAAAAATAGACACATTTTAGGACCTTTCTGTGTTCACTTTAGATATTTTTGAGACAGAAACTCAGTTGTACCGTAGCTCAGGCTTGCCCGGAAGTCACCGTGTAGCCCAGGCTGCCCCGGCTCACATTGACAGTAGCCCCTTCCTTGGTCACTACCACACCCAGCAGCGGTCTGAAGTTTCCCTGTGGATTCCTCTGGGCCCTGAGCCCGTGGATTGCGCTCCGCCCCGTGACCCTGGAGGTCAGGGAGAACAGGCTGCTGAGAGTTGCCCTCTACCTCCACACCAACACTGTGGCGATAGGGCACCTACACAGGATTGGGTCATCAATCACCAGCATGAATAAATACAAGCAGAGTTTATGCCATCCAAGTGCCCTGTGTATTCCCCAGGCAGCCTGTAGGAAGTCCCGTTTCTCTTTACCGCTCCAGGCCCCAACCCTGCTCTTTGTTGTTGGCTTCAGGTTCGTTGTTTTCTGAGGTTTCACATGGCTCAGGCTGGACATGAACCTGCTATAGCCCAGGTTGATTTATTTGTTTGTTTCTTTTGTTTTCCGAGACAGGGTTTCTCTGCGTAGCCCTGGCTGTCCTGGACTTGCTCTGTAGACCAGGCTGGCCTCAGCGATCCACCTGCCTGTCTCCAGAGTGCTGGGACTAAAGGCGTGCACCACCATGCTGGGTGGTAATCCTGAACTCACTGTGTAGTTAATGTTGGTTTCAAGTCCTCGTCCTTGTGCTTACAGCTGTGACAGGTGTGACAGACACAGCCCTGTGCCACTGTGCCTGTCTTCCCTCATCGTTTTCCGTACCCTTTCTTGGCTGGACTTGGTCAGTGCAACCGGCAAACCGGAGTCTTGGGATTGTTTGTCCTTCCCTAAGGTGGCGGGGTGGGCATTTCTCTGATGGTGAAAAGACAGGACAGCTGTTAGACTTACTGGCAAAACGGGTTTGGTAGGGCTAGCCATGGCGGAGGCTTGGTTAGGTGGAGACGCAGGTAAGCCATGGTGTGTCTGGATGGAGTAAAGGCTGAGGAAAAGCCTCCTTGCTGGGACCCTATTACCCAGCCCAAGGCTTCCCAAATCACTGATTCTCCAGTCTGAGCTTCCTTCCCCAGGGCTGCTGGGGGGGGGGGGGACCCTCCCTCCCTCGGCTGGGCTGGTTGGCTCCTTGCTTATCTGCTTGATATCCTAGGCTTCTAGATAAGGTTTCACTTGAACAAAGAGTTCCTGGGCTAAGCAGAAATGGAAGAGCGCTGCCCCAAATCATGTACCCCCTCCCTAGGGACAGATCACTGTCTGCTCCCAGAGCCCATCAGTGTCGGGCAGGCTCAGGACAGGTCTGACACCGTAATATAGGAATCAGACGCGGGTGTCCCTTGAGGCGGTGTTGGCAGCAGCAGGTGTGAGATGCTCGGGAGAAGCAGGCAGGTATTCAGGGTGCAGTCCTGAGCTCACACTGCACAGCGGCTCCCGGAGAGGCCTAGGCCTCCCCTCCGAGCTGTTTCCCGTCTGCACCCTGTGCTTCTGCCAAACTCTTCCCTCCGAAACTCTTCATTCTGCATGTCAGAGCCTTCCTTGCCCCAGGACGCACCCATGCTGCGTCTCCCACAAAGCTTGAGCTCCCACTTGGCCTTTGTTTCCCTTTGCACGTGAGTTGCTGTGGAATAGTGCAACACTCAACTCCCTGGGAACATGAAGGAACAAACAGTCCGAGCCAGGATGTGAGAAAGTTGGCAGTTTCTATGGGGAACTTGCCCCCACCCCTTGGTTTTGAGATAGGGTTCTCTGTGTAGCCTTAGATGGCCCAGAACTCACTCTGTGGACCAGGCTGGCCCCAGCTCAGCAATTTGCCCGCCTCTTCCTCCTGAGTGCTGGGATTAAAGGCATGCCCACACACAGGTCATTTTTCCCGTTTGTAATGAGCAGTGTTTCCACACCAATTCTTGCCTCCCTGAGTTGGCTCTGATTGCCTGGCAGGACAGCCAGCCATGACTGCATCTGACTCAGCTCTGTCCTATCCAGAGCCTCCCCGAGGTGAGGCGGAGAGCTGAAGCACATCCTTGACTAGCAAAGGCTTCCTCAGTTGGGGGGGGGGGGTCGGAAAGCTTCATGGAGCCGGCGTCTGAGACAGTCCCAGAGGGACATGAAGGAAATGGTTTTGGCAGGTGGGGGCGCGGGTGGAGATGGTAAATAGGATGCTGGGTGTGAAGACATGGTGGGGCTGGACACAGAGCTGGGGAAAAGACCCTCAAAGGGGGCTTGGACGTGTGGGCTGGGACTCAGATGTGGAGGAGTCCCCAGGAAGCCAGACTAGATCAGAGCTTGTTTCCCGAGGAGCCTCTGGGAAGACAGTGTGGATTAGAGGCTGTGAACCCTCAGGTCAGCAGGACTGAGGATGATGGTGCAGGACTGTGTGGGCTAGGCAGCAGCCCAAGGGGAAGGTCTGTTCCTGGAGTGGCAGCAGGTGGCATGGAAGAGTGTGGGGGAACAGGTTCAGTGTCCTGCCCAGATGGAGGAAGGGGGTGTGACGGAAGACGGACAAAGGCTAGGGTGCCTTGGCGGCAGGGAGTGGCTGCATTTCCAGCGAGAGGCATCAGCCAGGCATTCGGGTGGATGCTATCCTAGAGCTAGCCAGAGGACCAGGGAGCAGTTGGGTGGTTTTGGTCTGGGAGGGCCGTGGGCAGGATCAGCTGCTGGAGTAAGTGGCCCTGGCCTTGGACAAGTAGGCTTAGGGAGGGGAAGTGGCTAGGGGAGGTAGGGAGTCTGCTGGAAGAAAGTTTCTTGTTTTGTTGGGGTTCTTTTATGTATATATGTATAATTTACTTTTATTCTATGTGCATTAGTGTGACAGTGTCAGATCCATTGGAATTGGAGTCACAGACAGCTGTGAGCTGCCATGTGGGTGCTGGGAATCGAACCCATATCCTCTGGAAGAGCGGCAGTGCTCTTTACCACAGAGCCATCTTTCCAGCCCCATTTGCTGGGTTTCTTTGCTGGCTTGTTAATAGGCAGGGCCATGCTCTGTACCCCAGGCTGTCCTCTTAGCTCTGTGCTGGAGTTAGAGGTATCATACATCATGCGCAACCCTTGCTTGACTTTAAAATGGAACGTGACACTGCTTTTAAATTATTAGAAGTAATCCATGCTCACAGAAATTCAGGGTGTAACAGAAGGTGAGCTGTGCCGGTCTCCTGACCCCACACCTTCTCTTCCTCCCCGAAGGTCCAAGGCAGATTTGGTGGAGACGTGATGGGGCCAGGGACTAAAAGGGTCAGAAAGCAAGCGCTGATGCAGGGGGAACCACGGCTTCCAGGCAGGTGCTCTGTCATGCTGGGGCGTCTGCAAGGAGCTTCAGGATGGGTTACCGACTGGGGGTGGGGGAGGTGGGGAGGATGGCAGTTTAGGCCTCGCTGTGATCGGAAGGTGCTTGTGTGAGAGCAGGGAATTGGAGAGGCTCCTTGGGGCAGGGTGGAGGGTGGCGAGCTCCCCACCAGTGAGGCTAGGGTGAGAAAGGGCAGTACCGAACCCCAGGAAGATGTCCACTCACGCCCTGGCTCCCTTCTGGGAGGTCACTCTTGCTGAGTATCCTGAGCCCTTGGCCCTGACCGCCTCTTCCTCTTTACCTACAGACTCCCCACCTGGTAAATCTGAATGAGGACCCCTTGATGTCCGAATGTCTTCTCTATCACATCAAAGATGGTGTCACCAGGTAAATAGGTGTAGCCGTCTTCGGTGCTCCCCGGCCCCAGTCTAGGGTATGGCTGTAGAATCGCTAACACATTGCTCAGTGAGTCTCTGGTTTTGGTGGCCACTGGAGCTATTCCAGATTTTTGCTCTTTCAGACTTTTTTCTTTCCAAAGATTTTATCTTTATTTACACGCGTGTGTGTGTCAGTGAATGTCACGTGTGTGTAGGTGCCCACAGAGGCCAAAGACGGTGCTGGATGCCCTGAGGCTGGAGCTCTGGGGGTTGTGAGCTGCCTGGCTATGGGCACTGTGAGAGCGGTACATGTGGCCAGGGAGAAAGAGGCAGCGGATCTCTGAGTGTGAAGCCAGCCTGGTCTGCAGAGTGCGTGCGGGACAGCCAGGGCCACACAGAGACACCGTGTGTGGAAAAACCAACCAACCAGTGAAAGCGGCATAGGAGGCAGCCCGTGCGCTTCATGCTCTTTGCCAACCGCCATGCCACCTCCCCAGAGACAGGGTCTTGCTTTGTGGCCCAGGCTAGCCTCAAATCCAGAATCCTGCCCCAGCTCCGACAGAGCCCAGAGGTGTGCTTGACTCCTTTCTATCTTGACAGACTGTTGAGGCCCCAGATCAGCGAGCAGTCTTCAGTTTGGTGAAGGCCTGGTGTTTCCCAGGCTACTCAGAGAAACCCTGTCTTAAAAACAAAACAAACAAACAAAAATAAAAAAGAAAGAAAAAAATGCCAGGGCTCAGCGCTGCCTGTGCCCGGCTGGATGATGTGCAGAGGCCGTGGTTCTAAGGATCATGCCTGGCCTCCGGCCCCAGCTTCAGCACCGCAGGGCTGCGTGGCCTTGACACGCCCTTGCTGAAACGAGAACACTAGACTCGGGCCTGCGCACCCGGAGGCCAAGCGCAGAGACACTGAGCAAGTGTCGCTGTTCCCCAGGGTCGGCCAGGTGGATGTGGACATCAAGCTGACCGGGCAGTTCATCCGGGAGCAGCACTGCCTCTTCCGAAGCCTCCCCCAGCCTGATGGAGAAGGTAAGGCCTGGGAGGGGAGAGTGCAAGGGCTAAGGTAGAGGGGTCGAGTGTTCCACCCACAGGGAGTGAGCCACATGGGAGGCCACACCCTCCCTCTGCAGTGCTGAGCTCATGGTAAGTGGTGGGGGGGAGGCTGGCTCTGGGAGTGGGGCTCAGGTAGTGTGGGAAGCTGGGGGGGCTCAGGTAGTGTGGGGGGCGGGGGGGGCTGGGGGGGTGTGGGGGGGTGGCTGTGGGGCTCAGGTGGTGTGGGGGGCCGGCTCCATGTGGTGGGGACACAGGTAGCACGTTGCTGTACACTGGAGGAATTTGGAGGAGGAGATGAAATGCTGCCTTCCTTTATCCTTCTTTTCCCTGAGCACTTCGGTTACTGTGTGTGAAACCCGTGTTTGTTCAGTGGAACCCCTGAATCTGCTCTGTGGGAACGCTGACTCAGCTATGGTGACAGTGGTTCCTGAGAACTGAATGTGGCTGCAAAGCTTTGGGGAACTTTATAACTGTAAAACTTTTAGGAGTCGAAGGTTCTGGCCAGGCATGGCAGTGCAAGCCTTTAATCAGGGCACTTGGAAGACAGAGGCAGGAGAATCTCTGAGTTCAAGGCCAGCCAGGGCTACAAAGATACACCCATCTGAAAAGCAGTCTGCCAAACAAAAAAGACACCAGGTTCCGAGGGCGGCAGCCATCAGCAAAGCACTGTGCAGTGTAGTTTGTCTTATGCTGTCGGGATTGAACTCGGCTTCAGGCACGTGCCTGCTGGACAAGCACCGTGACTTTGAGCCCTGTGCACACTCAAGGAGTCCTTACACCCCTCCCCCAGCCCCCTCTACGTTTTCTGTTCGCTTTGGGGTCTCTGTATACGGTGACCTGGATCTCCCAATCTATTGCCTTGGCCCCCCCAAAGACTGGATCACCGGGTGCATGCCTGGCCTACAGCACTGTGTGTGTGTGTGTGTGTGTGTGTGTGTGTGTGTATGTGTGTGTGTGTGTATGTGTGTGCTTGTGTGGTGTGCATTTGTGTAGGTTTGCTTGTGTGAGTGTGTTCATAATGAGGCCCGGGGTTGATGTTACGTGTCCTCCTTAATCACTTCTTCACTTTCTCTGAGACATGGCCTCTCAGTAACCCCGAAAGCTCAGTGGGTGATGCAGCTGGACTGGATGGCCGGTGAGCGCCAAAGGGCCACATTCCCCCACCGCCACCCCAGCTGCATTGTTACCATAGCCAGCTCTTTTTATATTTTATTTTTTTCAAGACAGGGTTTCTCTGTGCAGCCCTGGCTGTCCTGGACTCTCTTTGTAGAACAGGCTGGCCTTGAACTCACAGAGATCCACCGGCCTCTGCCCCTCTGAGGTCTGCGCCTGCGCCACCACGCCTAGCTGCACAGCCAGTTCTTAGGGAGCCTCTGGGGATGCAGAGCTGGTCTGCAGGCTCGTGCAGCAGGCTCTAAGAATTGGCGAGGTGTGTGCACGTGCCTGCAGTCACAGCTACTTGGGAGGCGGGGCAGGAGGCTTCCTGGAGCCCAGGGGTTGGGTGCCAGCCTAGACAGTGTGTAGGACGGTTAAAAAGGAAAAAGAAGAAAGCCTGTCCTGTGGCTTGCAGCTCAGGTTTAGGTGGGGGCCGGGTCAGCAGATTGACGCGGTCGCTCTGTTCTGGTTCAGGTCCCCAGTGGCGAACAAGTGCTTCCTGCGGCTGGGGCTGAAAGCTGTTGAATCAGTTCAGATCAGCAAGCTATTGCCTAGTTCCTGTTCTGTGGTTGTCTGTGGCGTAGGCTCGGGGAGGAAGAAGATCAGGTACCTGAGGCCCCGGAAGCAAGCCCACATTCCAGGAGTGCCTGGTGTGGAGATGGCAGACACTGCCATGCAGGACTGTGGCAAAGATCACAGTAAAAAGCAGCCGGTGGCATGGTGGCACGCGCCTTTAGTCCCAGCGCGCAGGGAGGCAGAGGCACTCGGATCTCTGTGAGTTTGAGGCCAGTCTGGTCTACACAGAGGAACCGTGTCTCGAAAAACAAACAATAACAACAAGCCAGTGTTTTTGTGCTCCAAAGGGTAGGTTGTAAAGGTTTAGTCCATCTGGGCTGTTGGTCTTACAACAGACTTTTAAGACTTGACCAGAGACGAGCAGAGACAGGCGGGATCGGGCAGGTGCAGGAGTTCCATACCAACCATCTATTTTTCTCTTAGAATTGTCTTGCTCAGCTCACAGACAACAGAGCTGAGGGGCCCAGGGTAGGTAATTTGCCCTGGAAAACAGAACTGAGTCCCAGCACAGAGTCACAGTTGCAGGGGCTGTGCCCTTGGCTGCTGGATCCCTGAGGCTCCAAAAGAAGAGGGTCGGGAATGCAGCTGAGGTGGCAGAGTGCTGGAGTCGGATGTGTGAAACTGTGAGTTTGAGCTTCAGGTCTGGCACAGCTGCGTGTGGTGGCACTGTGATCCCAGCACCCGGGGGAGAGAGGCGGGCGTGTGTGGGGGGCGGAGAGCCGGGAGTTCAAGGCCATTCTCCCTGTCTCCAAAGGAGAGCAAAGGGTCTCTGCCCGCTGGTCTGGAGCAGGCCCCTCACCTGGCCCCATTTCTTTCTGTCCCGCCACTCCTGCTCCTGGTCTTCAGAGAAATCACTAGATTGTCTGCTTCTAAAAACTGTCAGAATTGCTGCTGGTGCACACACTGCTAGTCCCAGCACTCGAGGGGCAGAGGCAGGCGGATCTCTGTAAATAGGAGGCCAGCCTGGTCCAAAGAGGAAATTCAAGTACAACCAAGGCTACACAGAGGCACCCTGTCTGGAAAAACAAGCAAGTTTTTGTAGTGAGTGAGTGTGTGTGTGTGTGTGCGCGCGCACGCGTGCCGTGTGAATTGGGAGGATTGAACTCATTGGGCATGCAGCAAACGGCTGAATCTGCTGGGTCATCTTCACTGGCCCGAGATTACCCAGCTGTCATCTGCCTTAGCAGCCAGGTTAAGAGATCAGGGATTCGGGTTATCTCCTGGCGTACAGTAGGAGCATAATGTTTGGGATGTTGATGGACACGCATTGGTGGAAAATAAGGGTGAGATAGCCTGCCTCCCCTCCCATTCCTGTCCTCGTCATGCCATGTTGCCTGTCCGAATGTCTTCCTGACTTTTAGTCACCTGTTACAGCTCGCCTGGCCTCTGGCCTCTGCATCAGTAGTGGCCTGTTCCTCTGTCTGACGCTACAAGTCGTCCGAATTTCCATGGTTCTTGATTACTTTTAGTTTAAATTAAAAAAAAAAAAAATCTGGGTTGAGAACCAGGCTTGGTGGCGCACGCCTTTAGTCCCAGCGCTCGGGAGGCAGAGGCAGTCTGGTCTACAGAATGAGTTCCAGGACAGCCAAGGCTACATAGTGAGAGCCTGTCTAAAAAATAAAAAAGTTGGGCAGAGTATATAGCTCAGTGATACATCCCTGAATTTAAACTCTACTCCTCCTGCCTGCCTCTCTTCCACCTCCCCCTTCACTCTCTGGCTCTCTCTCTCTCACACACACACAGTTTTAATCACAGCATTTGGAAGGCAGAGGCAGTCAGATCTCTGTGAATTCGAAGCCAGCCTGGTTTGTATATATAGTAAGAGTTCCAGGACTGTCCAGTGAGACTCAGACTCAGAAATGAATGAATAAATGATGTTTGCATATTATCATTATTATATCTTACACTCCTCTGGAATAAAGACGCCATTATCCCAATTTATAGAAAACCCCAAAATTTAGATAATTTGTCTCTGGCTCAGCAGTCATAGATCCTGGGTCTTTGGAACTTGAGGGTCTTTGTTTGTCTGGTTGGTTGGTTGGTTGGTTGGTTGGTTTTTAAGACAGAATTTCTCTGTGTAACCTTGGCTGTCCTGGAACTCACTTTGTAGACCAGGCTGGCCTAGAACTCACAGAGATCCACCTACCTCTGCCTCCATGCTGGGATCACAGGTGTGCGCCACGACCACCTGACTAGTACTTTTTAAGAATTATTTAGTATGTATACAGTGTTCTGCCTGCATGTATGCTTGCCCACCAGCAGAGGGCACCAGATCTCACTATAGATGGTTGTGAGCCACCATGTGGGTGCTAGGAACTGAACTGAGGACCTTTGGAAGAGCAGCCAGTGCTCTTAACCTCTGCGCCGTCTTTCCAGCCCCCTAGTATCTCTGCTTTGTGTATCTTTGTGCCCCTGCAAGCAACAGGCTCAGAGATGGACAGCTGTCTGGGTTGGGTTTTTGCCTTTTGAGGCAGAGTCTTACCATGTAGCCCAGGCTGAGCTCAAACTCGCTATGCAGTTCAGGCTAGCGAACCTCAAACTTGCCACAGTCCTTCTGCCTCAGCTCCTGACTAGTGTAACGGGCATTCAGATGTGTGGCACCGAGCCGGGCTGGTGTTAGCTCGGCTGACTCTATTTTACCCTGTGTTGCTGTGACTTGAGAACATGAACGGGATGACAGCCATTTGCAGAAAGCATTGGACAGTGCCCGCAGGCATGTGGGCCACACTGGAGATGACATTAAGGACGCGAGGGGCGGTGACAGGTGGAGGGCAGGCGGGCGGGCCGGCTGAGCAGGAGCCACCGCAGAGGCTTCTGGGAGTCCCGGTCGGGTCTCTAACCCTCCCTCTGCTCTTCTCTCCCTGTGCTGCCACCAGAGGGGCTGTGGCACCCCTGCAGGTACCGGGGCGTAACTGCGGTGCATGCGCGCTGTGGGGTGAGGCACGGTGGGAGGGGGAGCGAGCCCGGCTCGCCAGAGGCTCATCTTCTCCCTTCCCCCCCGCACCCAGTGGTGGTCACGCTGGAGCCCTGTGAAGGTGCAGAGACCTACGTCAACGGGAAGCTGGTGACGGAGCCGCTGGTGCTGAAGTCAGGTGGGAGGCTGGGGACCGGGTCGGTGACTGGCTGGTAGGACAGAGGGGCTCCTGGCACCGAGGGCCCGATCTGCTTAGGCCTGGGGCGCTTTGCTGCTGTGGCTGAGCTGGTCTCCGCTGCCCTCTTCCCCTTCCAGGAAACAGGATTGTGATGGGCAAGAACCACGTTTTCCGCTTCAATCACCCGGAGCAAGCACGGCTGGAACGAGAGCGAGGGGTCCCCCCGCCCCCAGGCCCGCCCTCCGAGCCTGTGGACTGGAACTTTGCTCAGAAGGAGCTGCTGGAGCAGCAAGGCATCGATATCAAGCTGGAGATGGAGAAGAGGTAGGAGGCCGCCAGCACACTCCCGTTGGCCCCCGCGGAGGTGGCTCCAGACCCTCACGGCTTCTCCTTCCGTCCGCTCCCAGGCTGCAGGACTTGGAGAATCAGTACCGGAAAGAAAAGGAAGATGCTGACCTGCTGCTGGAGCAGCAGCGGCTGGTGAGAGGCGCGCGCGCGCGCGGGGGGGGGGGGGGGGCACGGGGGGGGGGGGGGCCTGGAGGAGCGGAGGGAAAGAGTGAGGCTGTTGGCACCTAGAAGCTGGGAGAGATGGGAACTAACGCTCTTCCCAGCTGACGAGGCTCCTTACGCGCCGGCGGCTCCGGGCCTCTTCGCCTCACTCTCAAGCACTGTGGTTCTTGTAAGATTGTTCCTTACATGGACTTTGAGCCTCATCTGACAGTGCTACATAGTCATTTGCTGCGTAATGACAGGGCCGCCAGTGACAGGCCATGTGTCCAGGCCCCGGGAGACCGACCAGCTGGCTGGGGCGGCTGGGGCGGCCTCCCTCGGTGCAGGCTGTAGCGCACCGTGACGCCATCACGCTGGGACCCAGTTCTCAGACACAGCTCTGTAGTGACGGGGCACAGGACCGCCTATGCCCATGCAGATGCCCAGAAGCCCAAGTTCAGCCAGCTGCTGTGCGCGGTCAGCCTCAGACAGGGCTGTCTAGACAGGCCCCCGCGCGGCGCGGTGCAAGCGCGGTCCCTGCGGCGTGCTTAGCCCCCTCTCCCTCTCTCCGCCCAGTATGCGGACTCTGACAGCGGGGAAGACTCGGACAAGCGCTCCTGTGAGGAAAGCTGGCGGCTGATCTCCTCCTTGCGGGAGCAGCTGCCGCCCACCACCGTGCAGAGCATCGTGAAGCGCTGCGGCCTGCCCAGCAGCGGCAAGCGCAGGGCCCCTCGCAGAGTGTACCAGATCCCTCAGCGGCGGCGGCTGCAGGGCAAAGACCCCCGCTGGGCCACCATGGCGGACCTGAAGATGCAGGCCGTCAAGGAGATATGCTACGAGGTGGCCCTGGCCGACTTCCGCCACGGACGGGCAGAAATCGAGGCCCTGGCCGCTCTCAAGATGCGCGAGCTGTGCCGCACCTACGGCAAGCCCGAGGGCCCCGGGGATGCCTGGAGAGCCGTGGCCAGGGATGTCTGGGACACTGTGGGAGAAGAGGAAGGAGGCGGAGGCGGCGAGGAGGGAGCCCGCGGGGCGGAGGTGGAGGACCTCCGGGCCCACATCGACAAGCTGACGGGGATCCTTCAGGAGGTGAAGCTGCAGAACAGCAGCAAGGACCGAGAGCTGCAGGCGCTGCGGGACCGCATGCTGCGCATGGAGAGGGTCATCCCCCTGACGCAGGTGAGGACGCCGCCGCCGGCCGCTCCCCGCCCCTCCAGTTCCCCCACATCCCAGCCTCCCTACGCCGCCGGCCCCTCCCCTCCCCTCCTCCTCCAGCTCCTCCCCACATCCCAGCCTCCCGCCCTGACTTTTGAGAAGGCTTATTGAAGGTGAACGGGCTTATTTTTTGTTTTCTGGTAGTTCATGAATGGCATGCTTGCTTCAGTCTCCAGAGGACCAGAGTTTAGTTTCAAGCACCCACTTGGCAGCTCAGGGTTGTCAGGAGCTCCAGCACCCACTTCCGGTCGGCAGGCAGCGCTCACAGGGTGTAGACATACATGCAGGCAAAACAAAAAACACAGCTGGGCATGGTGCCGCACGCCTTTAATCCCAGCGCTGGGGAGGCAGAGACAAGTGGATCTCTGAGTTCGAGGCCAGCCTGGTCTACACAGAGAAACCCTGTCTCAACAAACAAATAGGTTCTGTAGGCTTCGGTTGGTGAATATTTGCCTCCTAAACACTGAGTGTGATCTGAGGATCTGAGTGTGAGCCCCAGAACCACACAAAAAGCTGGGCACGGTGGCACCCACTTATCCTAGAGCTGTGGCAAGAGGGCGCGGAGACAGGCAAACCTCGGCTTGGTGGCCATGCTCCCAGCCTGTGAATGCGGGCGGCAGGACACGCGTGCCCCCACACACTTGCACATGCTCAGACCCGCACAGGCTCTAGACCGGGTGCGCTGCGGACACGCTTTAATGCCAGCGCTGGGGGCCAGACCCAGGAGGACCAGTAGCCCAGGACCAGCCTGCGCTACGCCGCGAAACAAGTCAGGTTGTGAGGCTCACCAGCGCGGGTGTGGCGGTGTGGGTTTAAGCCCGGCTGAGAGCCGTCACCGGGAGCCTGTTCCTGGCTGTGCGCGCCCTACCCCCCAGCTCTGCAGAGATGGAGCGGTTATGGCGTCTTCTGGCGTGTCTGCGAGCGCCCGGTCATGTGCACACGGGGTTCGGGCCCTTCTGAGGGACGCCACAGCCGGTTGAAGTTCCGACTTGGGGTTACCAGAGGCGCCCCCCGCAGTGTGGCTTCTGCCGTGTGGCCTCTGCTCCCGCTGCTCCGCTGGGTTCCCACAGGCCGAGGCTCATGCACGGTGAACTCCCCGTGGCCGCCCTTGCCCTCCCTCCCCCGCCGGAAGTTTAGTTCTCCCGGCACTTGGCAGCAGGTGCTGCCGTCGCCGGTGGCTGCACAGAAGGGGCTGCTGGGCAGGGGAGCCGGCAGGGCCCGGCGGCGCGGCCGAGGGGGCCCGGGCCCCGTTATGCCCAACCAGACCGCAGCGGCCCTCGGCTCACGGCTTTCTCCTGTCCCTCTCCAGGAGCTCGAGGAGGAGGCTGACGAGGCCGCCCTGGTGGCCTGGGCGCCCCCCCGAGGGCGCGGAGGCCGCGGAGGAGGCGGGCGCGCAGCCCGCGCGGCCCGCGTCGCCGCCGCTGTCCAGCTGGGAGCGCGTGTCGCGGCTGATGGAGGAGGACCCCGCCTTCCGCCGCGGCCGCCTGCGCTGGCTCAAGCAGGAGCAGCTGCGGCTGCAGGGACTGCAGGGCGCGGGGGGCCGGGGCGGGGGGCTGCGCCGGCCGCCCGCCCGCTTCGTGCCGCCCCACGACTGCAAGCTGCGCTTCCCCTTCAAGAGCAACCCCCAGCACAGGGAGTCCTGGCCGGGCGTGGGCGGCGCGGAGGCCCCGGCGCCCCAGCCCCCCGAGGAGGCGCCCGCGCCCGCGCGCAGGCCCCCCAGCCCCCGGAGGCCCCACCGTCCTCGCAGGAACTCCCTCGACGGCGGCGGCCGCTCGCGAGGCGGGGGCCCCGCACAGGCGGAGGCCCAGCACTTCCAGCCGAAGAAGCACAACTATTACCCCCAGCAGCCCCAGCCCTACCCCGCCCAGCGCCCGGGGCCCCGCTACCCCCCCTACACCACCCCTCCACGCATGCGACGGCAGCGCTCGGCCCCCGACCTCAAGGAGAGCGGGGCGGCCGTGTGAGCGCGCGGGCGCCGGAGGACGGTGCCGAGATGCTGCTTCCCAGGGGCCCCGGGAGGGAGGCCGGAGAGCAGAGAGCGAGGGGGAGGCGAGAAGGTCCGCGCAGGTGCCAGGAGGCTGAGGGCGAGGAGCTGAGAGGGGAGAGGGCCGGAGGGGCCGGAGCAAACCAAAGCCACTAGGAGCGAGGGAGGTCGCCGGGGCCGCCGAGGCGGGCCGCCCCGCAGACGCTGCTATGGGTGGGTGCGTGGTTTGTGTGTGCAGAGCCAGGGTCTGGCTTTCTTCTCCGAGTGGGTGCAAAAGGGGAGGGAGCCGAGAGCGAGGGGTGTGCTCCCCGGCGCTCGTCCGTCCGTCTGTCCGTGGTGGGCTTCTGTTTCCGTGGCCGTGTGGTGGGTCCTGAGTCATTCCCTTCCCCCCCAGGCCTCCTGCTGTATTTAGGGGACCTGTCTGGTTTGGCTGGAGCCCCGCGAGCACGCGGGGCCTTAATAAAGGATAGCAACCAGGGAGCTCGCGGCTGCTTGGGTCTTGGTGGACGCACCGGTGTGAGTAAAGCGCGTCGCTTTGCCGCGAGTGTGGCCTCGCGTCGTTTCCGCGTTCCCACCGCCACCCGCGCAGGCGCTGAGGCCCGTCCCCTGCCCAGGGTGGGCAGCCTCTTCTCGCGTTGGTACTCCGGGGCTTCCCCGCCCGCCCCAGGCCTCGCCGCCCGCTGGGTAGCAGCCTAGCACTCAGCCAGGCGTGCCCGGGCGTACCCTCGGCCCTGCAGAGGCGCGCAGTCTGCGGCCAGCCTGGTCCGCACCGTGAGTTCCGCGACGACACGGGGAAGCCCTGCCTCGAAAGCGAGAAACAGAATCGCCTTCTGTACTTGCGGCATTGGGATGCTGGCTCAAGAGGATCGCCACAAGTTCAAGGCCAGCCTAGACCACAAGACAAGCCGTGTTTGTTCTGGGTTATCACACTCCTTCCCCAAAAATACCAACCCAGAACTGCTGACACTTTAAAGAACAATTTGGACTGAGTGGGTTCGTGTGTGTGGAGGACAGCGCCCCGGGTCGGCGGAGATGGGCTTGGTTGAGGGCCGCCTGGTGCTGTGCTCCTCTTCCAGAACAGTGCCCGCCCCTAACCGCTGAGCCACCTGTCCACCCCAGATCTTAAAAACCAGCAGTAGGGGAAACTCAGAAAACGCGGTGTCTCGCGCTTTGGTTCGCGCGGCGGTGCCGTGTGGCGAGTCTGCAGGTTCGCTCGCACCAGGCAGAGCCCTGGGCCGAGGCCCTGCGTCCACCCTGTCCCTTAAACCTGAGGCAGGCGCTGCTGCTCTGCGGCTTCCCGGGGTCCGTGGGACTCCGCAAGCGGCCAGTGCAGAGCAGACGGGCTGCGCTGCGGGGTGGGGTGGCTGTTGGCGTCCACACCCTGCTCCGGCTGCCTTGATTTTGACGCCTTGGCTTGCTGGGTTTTCAGAGACCCCTCGAGCGTGATTTGGGCCCCGCCGTGTAATGGATAGTTTGGTGGTAGTTGTTTACTTGATGTGGTTGGGGAGAGTAAGTGTGAGCAAGAAAATGATAGGCCGCAAAGGCCTCTGCGGCCAGAGCGAGGGGGCGAGAGGGAGGAGAGGGGAGGGGGCAGCCTCAGCTGCGGCCGAGGGGGAGGGGGCGAGAGGGAGGGGAGGGGAGGGGGCAGCCTCAGCTGCGGCCAGAGCGAGGGGGCGAGAGGGAGGAGAGGGGAGGGGGCAGCCTCAGCTGCGGCGTGGAAAGGCGACCCCAGCCCTCCACGGCTGTCTTTAATAACGTGAGCGGACAAGATGCTGTTCACAGCCAGTGCGTGCGGGCGCACTCGCCAGCCTCGCTCAGCCCGACGGCAGGCGGGCCGGGCTGGAATGAGGGTCCTCACGCGGGCCAGGCGGGCCTGCACCTCAGCCCTCACCCCACACGGCCCGGCCCGGTCTTCCCACGTGTCACAGGCTGCCGCCAGCGCTGGCCGCCCCTGCTCTGTGCCGGGAGGAGGTGCGGGCCGCCGCTTCAGGCCCGCCCTCAAGTCGGGGATGTCCCCTGAGCAGTCGGCTGCTTCCTGGCGGCTCAGTCACACTTGTAGGCTCTGTGTTGCCTGAGCTTTGTGTACCGAGTCTATTCAGAGACCTTCGGCTTCTCGCCCCTCATACTTAACATTGCTTTATACATTGATAACTTCTAGGTTTGGTTTGATATTGTTCTTTTCCTCTAAAAAAATAACTTTTTAAAAAAGTTTTAGGCACACTGTTCTGTCTGCATGTCCGCCTGCACGCCAGAAGCCACCAGATCTCACTATAGATGGCTGTGAGTGAGCCACCTTGTGGGGCTGGGAATTGAACTCAGGTTCTCTGGAAGAGCAGCCTGTGCTCTTAACCTCTGAGCCGTCTCCAGCCCCCCCCCCCTTTTTTTTTTTTTTTTTTTTTTTTTGGTAAGAGACATTTATGTAGTTCAGATTGGCTTCAACCTTGTGGCCTTCCTACCCCAGCTCCTCAAATTCAGGGCTTCTAGGGGTACACTACCATAGTTAGCATTCTTTTCTGTTTGTCGAGACGGAGCCTCTCTGACCTACTGACCTGGTATTTGTGCTATAGACCAAGCTAGTCTCAGTGTTCCTGCCTTATGCTGTCTTTTGTCTTAGGCATGTCATTACTCCTGGATGCTGTGTGTGTGTGCGCGCGAGAGCCCGCGCGTGTCATGGGACGGGGGCCTCACTTTATGTTCCAGTACTGGCCTGGAACTCTTTAGGTATGCCAAGATGGCCGTAGCACCCTCACCTGCGTCTGTCCCCACGTTCTGGGATCTGGGTGTGAGCCCCATATCCAGATGGCTTTCATTTATTTTTATTACATTAAAAAATTTATTTTGAGCCTGGCAGTGGTGGCGCACGTCTTTGATCCCAGCACTCAGGAGGCAGAGGCAGGTGGATCTCTGTGAGTTTGAAGCCAGCCTGGTCTACAGAGTGAGTTCCAGGAAGCCAGGGCTACACAGACAAACCCTGTCTTGAAAAACCAAACCAAACCATAATTTTATTTTGTGTGCATGAAGAAGCCAGAGGGCATCTCTCCTGGCGGCCTGTGGGTCGGTCGTGTGGGGCAGTGGCTTTTACCACAGAGGCATTTCACTGGCCCTGCTCTGCCCTTTTACAGAGTTAATGACCTGCTACCTGACAGTGCTTTGCTTCATGCATCATGGCATGTTCAGGCATCATGGCATGTTCTGACCATCCCGAGCTCACCCCTCCTGAGCACTCACATCACTGTCATTATTCCTTCACACAGAATCTCTGGGAACCTGAGCCCCTGGAGGCTTCTTCATGTGCCCGTAAAACCAGAGGGAGCCCTCCCCAAGGCAGGCTGGTTTTAGGTTTCCTGCTGAAACTAGCATGACTCACTGGCATGCATTTGGTACCGTAGGCATTCTGCTGCCTCATAGTACCTTTGCCCTTACACAGTGGCTGCACAGCTGTGTACACTCAGGAGGCCGAGCCAGGACAACAGCTGAAAACCGGCTGTGCTGGGTCAGCCTGGGCTGGCAGCGAGACTGTCTCAAAGAGGCGAGCGGTGGAGCGCTCACCTTTGACCCCAGCACTCAGGAGGCAGAGGCAGGCAGACCTCTGAGTTAAAGGACAGCCAGGGCTGCCCAGAGAAGCTGGCCTCAAAACCACCACCATCACCACAACAAAAAGAAGAACTCTCTGGCCCCTTGGTTAGAGCTGGCCCAGGTCAAAGGTCTGGCCTAGGACGCACGGTCTCACTTTCTTAGTCACTCCTGTCATCCTTTGTTGTTTGTTATTGGGACAGCTCTGTCTGGCCTGGACCTTGCTATGTTGACCTTGAACTCACAGAAGGCCTGCTTCTCAGTGCGGGATTAAAGGTGTGAGCCACCAGCCCGTGACCCTCTTCTGTTGTTCTTGAAGGGCACAGGGAGGCTGTGCGATTCAGAAACTCCTTCTCCGTCCCTAGGCAATCCCGCACACGTGGGAGCTGAGGTTAAGCAGCAGTGTTGGTGACAGCCTCGTGTGGCCTCAGCTCCAGCTCCTCCCTTCCTCCTGCTCTCAGACGTGGCTTGAGTGAGCTCACACCTGCAGGGGCTGAGCCGTCCCACAGCGGCAGCTGTCTTAGAGAGGGATCCTGGGGTCGCTATAGGGAGCCTGCACTGAAACTCCACCACAGAGGGGAAACCTGCGTGCACGGCCTGGCTCTAGCCTCTCTGATCACCTGCGCTCTCCGTGGTCCTCAGGTTTCTACTCGGTGCAAAAGCTCTACCAACTCAGAGGAGCTGCTGGGAAATAAAGCCTGGCGAAAGAAGGTGTTGCAAAACCACGGTGGGTCCTTAAAGGGTGCCAAAGCCTCCCTGCGGTGCAGCCCTTAGCTGCGGGGGCACCCGGCCTTCCCTCTCCTCCCCTCCTTTTCGCTTCTCCTCCTCCCCCTCCCCAGGCTTGTCCCACGGTTGTCCGCCAGGGGGAGGGCAGGCACGGACTCCCTGGACCGTCGCCTGTGCTTTGAGAGCCTGGCTGAGCGCATCCCCGGTTTCTCATCCCGGAGGACGGTCGGGCCGCACTCCTTTGCTTCTGGCCGGAGGGAGGGAGGGAGGAACATCTTTGCTGTTCCGGAAGGGACGACCTGAGGCCCTTCGGAGTTTTGGTTCCCCTAAGGCGCTTCCGAGGAGTGGAAGAGAAAGGAACTTTCCGCTGCGGGCGTTTAAGGGATCAGCCGACATAGGGGAACCGGGTCTGGAAGAGGTCTGGCCTGGGTTTTCCTTTGTCCGAAGCCTGACAAATGAAGTGAGGGCACCGGGGAGGAGACCCAGAGGCCGGGAGCTCAGGTTCCACCTCCAACTGCAGCTCCCTGGGACCTGGTGCCCTCTTCTGGCTTACACAGGCATCTGCAGACACGTGTATAAACACAGAATCTCTCACACACTCTCACACAATACAAATTATTTTTTTAAATAAGAAGTACGAGAAATTGAAGTAATCTTCCCTGCCCAGTAGCTATTGCTTTCTCCTGAAGATAAATCTTAAAGTATTTTGAACTCACTGTGTATTTGAGGTTGGCCTTGAACTCCTGATCCTTCCTC